ACGAGCTCTCGAAGATCTTTCTTCTAGCCTCGAAGGACAGATTGGTAAAACCTCTAATGGCAGATACGACGAGATCATCGCCGTTCGATTGGGGATCTTCAGTGGACAGCAATCGCCCATGAAGAGACGTTATGAAGCTCCTTTCCATTTCACGACTGTCGGTAAAGCAGATCAGGGACAAGGAAAGTGGAACTGGCGAAAGAACCTCAGCAAATTCCATATAAGAGAGAATGGCAGTACAGTCCGCTCAACGTATGGCCAATAAAATTTTACGCTTCAACTCGAACTCAAAACATGATTCAGAAATGCTACATAGACAAATTGTGGTGCGGCAGCTATCGCAGAGAAACACCGGCACCGGGGATCGAACCCGGGTCAGATATTCAAAAAAAGTGATTCTCGCGTGTCGATGAACTGTCTTCTTAACATCCTCGAGTTGTGGATTGGTTGTGCTAGTGCTAGTGCAGCAGTAACTGATCTCCGCATCGAAGCAGTCATGCACTACATACGATCCCATTCACAAGGTGTACTATCACGTATGTACACTTTATGCGGCGGGTACTAGTGCTCAGTAAACTGCTTCCGAAGCTCAGAATCATCTCCGATTGATTCCGGCTCGTAGAATGTGAGTCCACAATTTGTTTTTGAGCTTTAAAATAAGTCTTCGGAGTAACCTCGAATACTCTCGGGCTAATAGTCTCAGGTGATGGGTGTGAGAGAGGTCAGGCCACATACTCATCTTACAAAACACTCCACTCTAGAAACTATCCTTCAGGACTCAGGAATCTCGACATGCGAGCTCATGCAACAACGTCGTACAGTACAAATACTGCGTACATTAACAGTCATGGTTACAAATACATCAAGTAGCTGTGTACGGATATAGTGCATATCACAAAGGTAATCATCCTGAAAGAAACTCGATACGGCACTCGGAGCATGCCGAAGATGCTTACGCAATACAGTGACCTCGAACGGAGAGCCGGGAACCGAGCCACCTTCGAGTGTTACGTCCAAGTCGTAGATCCCAGCAACAACCAACTGGAAGCATACCCTGAATCACGGACAGTCAAGAATCATCAGCAAGTATAGTCGGATCGTGGTGGCGATATCGTCGGGAAATGGATCTCATCAATCCACTGATTCCCTCACCTATATTTCCCGTCACCATTGTCCACGATGGGCTCAATAGCGATCGATGGTCCAGGTGAATGCCGCGGGCCAGCAGCAATTACTGCGTAAGAATCGCCTCCCGTCGTCCTAGCATTTCCTTCGGCGTCAAAGGAGAGTATAGAGAAACAAGCAGGTGTATTCGCTCCGACCTGAGCCGATCACAAGCAGCACTTTACATAAGCAGATTCTTAGTCACTGCTAGTGGAATGCTTCGTGAGCAGAGAAGTATGAATGCACAAGCGTATGTGTGTTCTGTAACGCGCTGATTCGTTGAAACCAATGGATAGACTATGGCCGCCGAAAATATCCCCTAGCACGTTGCGGCCGCTAGGATCGCCAGCAGCAGTGAGTTTACCTCCGAGAAGTTCCCCACAACCTGAGTTTTCGATCTGTCAGATATTCCCTCTAGCACATCCACTGCGATTGGACTGGCAATGTAAGCTCCAAACAGAGTGGCGACCACAACTGTGGGCCCTTCTGGTATGCCTGCAATACTAAGGCTTAGCTCTCATGCTCCGACGGTCAGGTACTCACCCATCGGCAACGCGACCGTCGCCACGTAATGAGATTCAAGCGGAACCCATTCGATGGTACCCAGTAGCGGCGGGTTGACCAACTGCACTACGATATCCGGACCGAACGATCCATCTATAACAACATTGTGTTGGGCATCTCGCAATTCGACTTTCGTTGTGATGACGCCTCCAATGACAGCCTTGAGCACCCCATTCACTGTCGGTTCAGTCGCCCAGAACAAGGACGAATTCGCCGCCGGAACTCCAGGGCGCACCCACATCCCCTCGTAGGGGCTGCCCTTTATGTCCACACCAGCTGCCAAGCAAGTTTTGGGAACTTCAACCCATCCCGGCCCTATACTAGCCAAACTATCGGCTGAGTCGGGAAGGTGCATTATCAGAGATATGCCAACAGGACGATCCATTGACTCTGCAGCATGCGCCGGCCTGTACTCGACGATGAACGGGAATGCCACATCGACTTCAACAGAATTGCTCAGCGTCCTTGTAGAGGATACAAACTCGTTCACTACAGTGGGCTGAGAGCAACACCCGCACTACCCACACCGTGCGAAACGTATAATGTAGATCACTAAATAGGAGCGAAGGATGACAAGCGAGAAATGGTGCCGGGATTCTTACTGCGCGCGGTAACAGTCAACGATGCTATCATAACCCACTAACGACGGCAGATCGATTGATAGGATAATCCGAAGCTTTCGATAGAGCTCACCTCTCCACCAGCGATGGCGAAGCAGTAGATCCCATCTCCCGCGACCGCTGGGGTACATCCCTTGCTCTGAACAACGCTGATGTTAGGTCTGTTCCACTCGTCATCGGTCATCCACGAGTACCCAGCTCTGTACTCCTCGAGAACGATTCCTATATTCTTCCAAGCTATTCTAACCCAGCTCTGCGCAGACACCGCCACCCCTAACAGACTAGGCACTGCGCTGCCGAGTCTATCGAAACGATCTCGCAGACAGTCCCAGTGCAGGAAACCCGTCCAGCGGACATATCTCGGAGAGTCTCGACCGGAGCGCCAGTCATGTGTGAGGCCGTGATCAATTCTGAGTATATCGGGGCGTTGATACGCAGCTGGTTCCGGTGACCAGGAGTAATACATAGCATTTAGCCCAGCAAAAGACTGCTGTATATGGATTCGGAATGGACCAGCTATGAAGGGCATAGAGTAGCTTTTGTATATACCATTCGAAGCTAGGGCCTTTCGCGTATACAGCGCGTCACCAAGCATACGGTCGGAGCTCCCCTTCATTGTTGGCTCAGTGATCACGAGAAAACGCGCGACATCATTAGCGCTGTCCACCGGGCCGAGCTGACTGCAACCATCAGCGGCTTCTACCAAGCACTTCTGCGCTATGAACTCGACATCGATGACCGTTCCAACTTGAGGGCCTGTCCGGAATATCTCTCCCGTAGCAATCGGAGAATCTGATTTTAGGAAAGTGTCGGATGCTGATGCCGTGTCGCTTCTATCCCATATATAAACCCTTGCCTCGTCCAGCTGAGCATGCTGGACCAAGGAGCCGGGTACAGCTGATATGTCGCTTCTCTCAAAATACGGAGTGAACGGAGTCATGGGCATCACAGAGCCGGCGGTCGTCTCCGAGTCCACGACCAGCCTCACGGTAAAGAACTTCTCTTCGGCGTCGTATACCCCATTGTCGAAAACCGGTATTTGCACCGAGTGCTTTAATGAGATCGTTCTCATTGCTTCACCACGCCATGAAACTCCCGAATAAGGGACCCCGCTGGAGGTAATCAAATCACTAGTCGAGTTGGTGGAATTCAGCAAAAGTGTGAATGCATTTTCACTGAGGCTGTCAGTGAAAGCATCGAAAGTAACGTCGAACTCCAAGGTCTCCATAGTCGTCTCGAAATCTGTCAACCTTTGCTGCGCTCCGCTCACACTGTGCGCCGATCTGCTGTCGACAGTTTGGACAACGACGACTGGCTTGTGTGCACTTCCTCTCAGAACCCAGTCGAGATCTACGGTATCGAAGGACCGTACTATTTCGATCACGACGAACTCAGCGTCTGATTGCACGTGATAATAAGAAGAGGAGAATTCAATGACTCCCTCAGATACGCATAAGCCTTCCCTCATCACGAAAAGCGGGTCACAAGACAAACATCGCTCCGCCGAACAAGTCCGACACCGTCGCCATCGGAGATTGCACTGGTGGCATCTCGCAGACTGTGTGGAGTTGTCCACGATTGGAGGCAACAGGAAGAACCCGGGCTCGCAAGTGAGGCATCGACCAGTGACAGGCTCGCATGTTGCACAATGCCTGAGCATGATGAGCTACATAACGGTCCACGCCCCGGCCGAGTCGATCTCAACATGCGATGGAGTTACCCGTCGCCGATTATCTTGCAGTTCGTGGGCATGTCGCACTTGAAAGCATTATATTGGTCGAAGCGGTACGAGGTTTCAGATGTCTGGACAAATCTCGTGTCGCCGTAGACGAAATCAGTTGGAGAGATTTCGGCTGAGGCAGTACGCCCGCGCCACCTGAGGACTACGACCATCAGAGCTCCGGAGAAACACCCGTCGGGGGCGGCCCCACCAGAAGGGCAGCTCGTCCATGCCGTCCTGGCCCTTCGTGACGAGGTGTGTCCAGCCAGGATCGCAGACACATCTGTTAGGTGATTCACAGTAGCCATGACCGCAGTCAGAGGAAGGCTCCGGCCAGTGTTGGCAAAGGGGATAGTCGCAAATACGACCTCCCCAACCAGGCTCGCATTTACAGAGATCTGGACAGATCGCCTCCCCGTTCACACACGGAGGATTCGATATAGGTGTCTGGAGAGGAAGAATCGCGATGGCTCAGAGCTCAGCTCAATACTAGAAGCAGCCCCTACTTCACAGGAAGCGCCACTCCACCCATAGAAACACTCGCATCGATTCGGCCATGCACAGATGCCCTGTCCAGCCTAGAGCAGCGCTATGCCCGACTACTCAGTATGAGGTTAACTTACCTTGCAAGGCGGGTTGCAGGAGGCGATCTCACAAGACGGTCCGGACCAGCCTTCATCGCAATGGCAGACGTTGGGGGCAACGCAGCCCCCGTGTCGACATTTGGGCCAACACAGAGGCTGGTCACAATTAGCGCCATACCTATGGAAGTTCACAGCTTTAGATTTTCACGAGAATGTCTCCTACCATTTATCCGACTCGCACATGCAGCAGCCGCCAGTGCAGGCCTTGTTGAGCCTCACGCACTCGCTCATCGCAGGCATGCAGGTTTCAGAGCTCTCACAACGCCGGGCCAGATCACAAAGACTAGGCAGAACTCGGACCTGCGGTCACAGAGGGCGTGACCCTCTTCTGAGAGCGTGGACACGGGAGCATGGCTCCGAGGTCTATCCTCTCGATCTTCATGAGGTGTTCTCACATTGGGATCGATCCATTCCATCTCGATTGCCATGGTGCAACATGCTTCCTTGGTGCACTGCTTCGGATGGAGGTGGCACCCATGGGACTCGTCCAGCGCCTGGTCTAGCGTACACAGTTGAGTTTGATTGCCACACTCGTAGCTCGACGTGATCGCATTCCCATGACTCCTATCGTTCATTATGCACTGCCTGACGAAACAGAACGGGAAATGAAGGATGCACCCTATCAATGACATACTGCTTTGGTAGAACCTCCACACGCGACTACTAGTAGCGCCCGTACAATCTGGGGCTTTTCATACGCCCTGTATCGCACCTTAGAGCCTCAGCAATGTCGACTTTGGTGCTATAACACTTGGACATCTTCGTCGGCATTCCTCGACTCGTTTGGCACCACGACGTGTAACTGGTCACCCATAAGCACCTCGACTCGCCTCTGAAGCTGACTTACGTGCCGCCTATTTCGGGGTAGTCATCAGAGAGACACATATATGGGCAGTTAGTCACAGCGCCAAGCGGACTACCGCACATGTATGCGCATTCTCCGGAAATGCGACGGGGATTCCGATACGGAAGGTCTATGAGGTTCAGGTCCGACTGAGGGAATCTTTTTTCACACAGAATGGGGCGAGGACTATCCTCGGTTCAGGAGACGCCATCCGTGATCAACAGAACAGTGACAAGGCTGGAAATGCACGTGGGTGCTGACCTCTTGCTGTCGAGCCATGCAGTTGGCTATGCAGGTCGTGAAACAGCAGTCTCCACCATCGTAATTGCAATCGTTCTCATCCATGTTGTTCGTCAAGTCACATCTGCGAATGTCGTGTGTGGTGACACCAATAACATTGAAATCCGGACCCCGCAGATACGAACCGATGCCGTTGCTGCAGTTCGGATCAGTAAGAACGATTAAGATGCGAAAACACTGTCTAGACCGTCGCACCTCCCATCGCCTCGCAGGGCCTTGTCGCATGTTCCAACACTGGAGCCTCTCAACTTGTCACGCCAGGCGGTCAGATTCCACGCAATCTCTGTGATGGACACGTCCTATCGATGGCAGAGAACGCCTCATGCAATGTGTCAAGCGGAACATCTCACCGCGCATGCCGGATCGACCGTCAGCTCCTGGGCAGTAACAGCAAAACGGTGCCGAGCCCAAAAAAGGAGAAACGCCAGTATCATGACAATCGAGTCAACTGGGCCTTGCTCATCATCGAATGCCTCATCCAAGCGGCCACAGAAACAGCAAGAGTGATCCCATTCCGACCCGCCTCATCCAAAGACTGTGACCAACACAACAAACTGGAATGAACTGAAGTTCGGTGGCTGAAGTATCGGAATTTACAAAGACTGACGCGGAAAAAGCTACAGAAGCAATGGTATAATACACAATGATTATCAACTGTTGTTTAGGAATCATCCTTTCACATCCCGAGCAAAGAACTACTAAGTAATCCACTGGCAGAATTCATACGTCATCGGTACAAAGCACACTAGAGACTATTCTATCACACTTCCGCCACCGTTGGTGCCTCTACGGAGTCATCCATTCCGAATGGATTTCGCGGCCGAGAATGAGGTGAGACCTCGGAAAGCATAGCAACGCTCATCTCTTCATGCGAGTGCCCCCGCTGTCGTGAAGCAACTGGTTTGTAGCATCCATCATACAAGTAAATGGCGAGCAGTGGATTTCACACACCGTCAGTAGACGCGGCTACGTTAGCAAGCAGAGAGTATGCCACCTTCATCCACCATTCAAAACTGAGATCATTCTGGGTTCATTGACGTTCTCGCTGGCTTAAGAAACAGTTGGAGGGAAATACACAGGGAACAGTTAGAGCTCACTGTGTAGATTGACGCGTGGACCGAAGAGCCCAATAACCCTGTTTCCTCGATAGGATGTGAGAGCAATTCAGTGGAACAGTAGCGTTGAAAAGCGCTAGACGTTTATGATCCAACGGGCCCGGCGTCGATCAGATACCCACATTTTGAATAGTTTGATTCAGTTCGGGACAATCTGAGTCCAGCCTTCGTCACTTGTCTCACTTCTCTTTACACAGAGTGGAAGACAGAGCTTCCGATAACATGCTACAGGCATGGCCTTCTGCCAACACTAGTGTACTTGAGACCACAGGAGTATTCCGTACTGGTCAGGCGCATGGAGTTGGAGTCAAGTCGGTTCGAGTGTCATGGCAAGTGAGCAGTACACAAACGGAAAAGGAGCGTTCGGCCACCTTGGCCAGTCGCTGTAGAGCCGATGTGCAATTTATCGGCCGCCAGTCCTCGAACTTAAGGCACTCGCTCGTAGTTTTCAGTGGAGTTAGCTTCATCCGAAACTTACGAAATCTCCGATCTAGCAACAATGGTAGAGGAGTAGACAAGCGTCTTTCGGACATCGTAGTGAATCGCATATTCGTAAGACAGTGAAGTGTATAATTACGCTCGTATCCTCGAGAACTAGAGTGTTGTTCAGTGAACCATCTAGAACCGCATTCCACGAGTGGAAGTCAACTTTAGAATCGAGTAGGACATTCGAAAGACGTTCGACAAGCGCTAGCTACTGTGAACGTGCTGTAAATATCTAGCCTTCTTCATCCATCTTACTGTTCCTCTACGCCCCTCCCCTACTCACCACAACACTAACAGGTCGATTACAAGTCGTTATAGATGATAATAGAACTATGGTACAGTGCAAAAGCAGCGATAGTAGTGGCATCAGCAGAGAGGAGAATCATTAGCGTTTCAGATCTGACTGGCAAGTATGATGGCGGCGGACAGACTTGCAGACAGCAGAAAAACATAGGACGACATGGTACTCATCGAATATGTTGTCACTGCACTGCCCTACTCGTGCTGGTGCTGAGGAGGTGATTCTAATACTGGTACCGCACTTGATACTGTAATTCAGGTGGAATGTTACATCAAAGATTTGGCAAGAGTTGGGCTCAATTACTTTGGTCGCCCGCAGCAGACGTACAGGACTCATCGACCATATCTAGCGCTCCGAATCCGAGGAATGGTAGCTCTTCTGAAGGGCAGTCCCGCTGTGAGTTCTTCTCATTAACTTTCCTCAAGCCCTCTATAAGATCCGTATCGTCAGCATCAGCCGCGTTCAAAAGTCTCCTCGCGGCGAAAGTAAAGGTCTCCGCTGTGGCACCCATCTCGGCTGACCGGGCCGCCATACTATTGGCTACTGCCATTTGCCCGAGTCGGAGCCATTCGGACTGGTAGTACTGCAGAGCACGATATCTCTGGATGTCGACCAGACTAGGGTTAGGACTAGGAAACGCCAGTCGAGCCTTCGCCTTAGGCTTTGGTTTCGCCCTTGGTTTCCTAGCCAACGTAGAATCAGGTCTCGGGGGGACAACTCGCAACGTAGCCGATTTGAGGATGGGCATGTGGCCAGCATATTTGAATGGCAATTCACTTGTTGGGGAGGCGATCGGCCCTTGGGGACTTGAGAAACTCGACACCGGAGTGGCAACCGCTTCCAGTGTTGCTGACTTCATGGACGGCCCTGCGATGGGATTCTTTTGATTGAGTAGTCTCATAGCATCTTGAACCCTTCGACGAACATCTGCCCGTTCCTCATGGGCGGGAATAGGAGCCGAGGTAGACGCCATAGGTCGATGCTGCTTCCATACTTCTCGCAGCCGCGACCCAGCGGCTTGAGCACAGGCAATCACATGACCATTATTACTCAGAACCGAGCCATGGAACCCCAACTGCTGACCCCTTCTTTGCGTTGGTCTTTCCATCACGACCAGTCCGAGCGAGGCACGATAATGGTGCGGTGAGAAGTCAGATACGACAAGTTGCACATCTTCTGGAGACAAACACACGCCTGTTGCACCAGCAAGTCTTCCAGCGATACCGGCGAAATCGACGGGGCCAATCGAGCCAGCTGCGCTCAGCTCGTTATCAAACTCTGTCACGATCTGCCTCACAGTCGACAAGTGGAGCTTCAACAGATGAGGGTCTCGCTGCCGCATCTCTCGCTCGACAAGATGCAACTTCGGAGCCTCTTGGCTCTGAGTCTTGGTTCTCTTAGAGGCATGATGTTGCGAGTCAGGACCGCCTCGACGTTTCCGCGGCTTCACCTCGTCGTACTTGGTCGTGCGGGGCGGCCTTTCTCTCATCCGAGAATCGCAGTCGACTGGATCAGCAGTAGTGTCCATCGTAAAATAGTGATCATGACCTTTGCCGACCTGAAAATTGTCAAAATAACAAGAAATGTGGAGTCACTGAAAACCTCTCACTCCATTCGGCAGGGCGGAAGTTTCATTCCTCAACCAAGCACCTTTTGCATCACCGAAGTCACCCGTGGTCCCAGATGCAGTTGTCGAAGCAGTGGTGCTGCTCGAGTCCAATAACGCGAGGCTGGGTGGGGACGATGTGGGAAGACGATGACGGTCCATTAATGAGTACCGCAGCAACAAATTCTGAAGGATCTACTTTACAGCAGTGATGACAACTAGGGGAGCATCTGTTTGAAAATAAACCATCGCATGGTCTCGTGGCCTAATGGATAAGGCGTTGGTCTTCGGAACCAAAGACTGTGGGTTCGAGTCCCACCGAGATCGTTTTTCAATCCAGAAGATGGAATGTATCCAGGACCAATTTCTCATGTCCGAATTGGGCATATTCAGTGTCCGCATAACAACCTACTACCGAGTATACCCAGCAGTGATCGATGAAGACCTCCACTGATGGACACGTGGAATATCTCGCCCGATCACTCAACGGATCTGCCCGAATGATAAGCTCACGAAGATATCAGCAGAGGCATAGTACAAACGTAATTCCATGTGACGTTCTCATTGTGTAACACCAAAATATCAAGTGGCAGTAAAAGAAACGTACTGTGAAGAACAACGTCAGTGACTCCTATCGAGGTAACTATACTACAGAAGGGTAGTTAGCGGGTACATAGAATAAAGAGCAATCGGATGTGCATTCAGCTACTAGTACGGAAGTTCTGCTGAATGAGACTGAACGCCTCTTCAGCACATCCCCACGACCATTTCGATCTCAATTCATTTGAACATCATCATCACTACTTCCATGCTTCTGCTTCCGTTTATCGAGCTCCGCTCCTAGATGCTGTAGGGGTTCCGACCACTGAGCGTCCTCGGGCTGCCTTTTGATCAAATCCAGGGCGTGACTCACACACTCCGACGCGATGCGAAGAGGCTCGGTCCGATCTGAGAGATACACTACAAGTGAATCCGCATGTGTGTCTAAACAGTGAAGCCCGACAGAGAGAAGGTACTCAGACAGTTCACGAGATATAATCGGTAAGACGGGAAACCACCAACACACCTGTCGCCTCGGCATCCCCCTTGAGTGCTGCTGCTGCTGCTGCTGCGGTCATGTGAGCACATGCTAATACATACCACACCTCAACTTCATTCTCATCCTCGTCGAGCAGTTGATGAAGCACCTGCGCGACCCAGCAATCGATCAAATGTCCAATCTACCACCAACGAGAGGCGCACCTCAATGGCTTCATCCGAAGCATCAATATCAGTCAAAGTTTTCGCTAACTGCAGCCTGATAGGCATGGGAGGCAACGACTCCGGGTCTTCTTCCCCAACACTTCCTGAAGGTCGGACGGAACGATCCGCTCACCACACAAGGTGAACCGGCATTACGTATAATTTCTAGTGCTCGCTTGCACAGCTCCTTGGTCTTGTCAAAGTCCTGTATGACCTTGTAGTACACGGCTAGACCCGAGAGAGCCTCTACTGACTGAGGCGCGCGTGAAACGGCCTAGACAACAAGCAACGTATATCGACATGAAGCTACCCAGAAATTAGCAACTCTGCCCTTCCTACTCCCTCTAAGTATTTCTTGCAGTTCTCCTCAGCATCCGCTTCGTCGCACATGTCGGTCATATAGAGCTCACCAATAGCACACATTGCCGATATTAGTCTGAAGTAACGTTTCATGGCCAACTCCACCCACACTGAAAGCCCACCTAGCCTCGACAACGCTCCGGACTTCCTCTCCTTCAACCTCAGCATCCTGAAGCTCGTTCTCTAGAATTTGGGCGGCCTTCATGAAGTACTGCAAGGAGTCACTGCCCTCCGACAACTGACCCAAGTAGAAATACCTATCAAAAGGATCACTACTGACTCGCGAGGTCCTACAGCTTCAGTCCAAACACGACAAACTTCACATCAGAGTGTCGCGAAGCGTCTAATCGTTCGAACGGAACGCCATACAAGAGCCCCTCGCCCAAAGTGATTCCCATAGCACTACTTGCTCCCGTTGATAGCAGGTGCTAGCTCGACACTCCGTTTGAACAACTGTACCGCTTTCTCGACATCCTCATTGGAATATTCTAACAGTACCTGAGACGCTCAACCCTCACTGTCCAGGTAGGCCCAGTAGACCTACCTCGCCGTAGAAGTCAAGTACATCCGGGTTATTGGGATCCTTTTGGAACGCTTTATCCATGTACCTACGAATGTCCAATTGAGCGTCACTTTTTGTTGGATGATGAAGCGGTTGCTCTTAAGCGAACTCCAGCGGACCTAGCTCACTTCAACTGTACAGAGGCTCTGCGATGCATTGTTCCACTGAATGCATTCATCGAAAAAAAAGAGCATTTTTCAGTCTGACGTCCTCCAGAGAGTTCGAACTCGAGAAAACACACGTCCAATTCCTACACTACCGTATAGCCATCTCCCCTTCTGGAGGGAACCTTTCAAGACACTCGCTGGCCCGAGTTATTAGGTCCTGGGCTGTGACGTCGGTCGGAGTTGGGGACCGCCTAGAGGGCATTACGAGACAACTAATTAAGCGACTTCCGTATGCTGCCCAACTCAAAAGTAAAGGAGCTCCGAGGTTTCAGCCGTTATCATCAGTACGCTATGCAAGGCGCTGAACATTTCCATTATATGCATCAAACGGCGAGTTCCCAAGGTGCTTTTGAAATAGGTTCGGAAAAATGGCGAGCGAGAAATGTCCGAGAAAAGCGCGCGTCCCTCGACAAGTTTCAAGCCACTTGGGTTAAAAAAACTTCCGTGGAGAGATGATCATGGTACGCGACGCTCCCCGCAATCAAGTTTAGGAACAATAGTTTCAACCCGTAGCGCCAGGCTAGAACTTCGGCAGGCGTTTTGTTCCGTTGAAAAAATCAAGGCGCGAATCGACTTATTGGAGTTTCACCCGTGATGTGAAAAACACTAGTGAAAAACACATTTCGCATTTCACTTCGCGAAAAACGGGTGAAACTCCATTGTATATTGTACTGCATATACGACACATGCGTTGAATATGAATCTGGAGTTTCGGCACAGCAGCACGAAAAAGGATATGTATCCGCACCTTCACCGTTTCACTGTTCAATATACACGCATCGTTCGGAGTAACCACTGAGCCTCTAGTACTCCTTCCTAACAATCGATTTACTCAGTGTTTGAAAGGCGGGCTATAGGACAATCCTCTTTGCTGGGGTGGCCAGGTTTTTAAAAATATGTCAGTTCTCATTGAAGTACCTTGCACTGTTTCGAAGGGAAAGACTATCCTATGATTTTCAACATAACGTCTTCGTTTTTTTTCGCCACTTGAGAGTAGCTAGCGCTCCCTGTTGTCCCTGTTATGCACGGTTGTCACCTCTCATTTCAGTTCTAGTTTTGAGAATGAGTTTCCAAAATCGAGGAACGTCTTCCCGTTCCTCTGAGGAATATGTGGGAGACCTGCGGAGTCGTCAGGGACTGACCACGACTACTACGAATCGCGGGGAGGCCCAATCGGGTACTACGGTTTTGGAAGGTCTGTCTGAGAAACTCCCCGCATCCAACGGCAGTAGCGCCTCGGTGGTTGAGAAGCTGCGTGCCGAGAACTCAAAGTTGCAAACGGATATGCTCAGACTTGTGAAGCAAAATCGACAGCTTCTGGACGAGAACAAGAAGCTGAAGGTGCAGAAGCAAGTCATGGTTCACAGCGAAGAGGGCCTCAGGAGGGTTCTTGATCAAGACCCCTTTGTGAATATGTCCTGTTTCGGTCATAATAACTACAAGAATGTATCGGACTTGTACTTCGAGCTGCAGCATGAAATTTGTTGGCTCGAGCGCGACGACAGAGGCCTCCGCCGGGTTCTCGATGTGGTCATCGTTCGCCTCTCCTACAAGGACCTCGTTCTTGTCGAATCACACGAGCAGATGTCAGACGGCAGAGTGAGGAGCCGCAATTTGCTCCCGGGTGTCAAGAAGCGTCTATCTGAAACCATCGGAGCTGCTCTCGAACGGTGGATCCATAAGGAGTTGGGATTGAACTTCGACTGTCTCAAGCAGGCGGCCGCATATTCTTACTCTGAGCAGGAGGCTGACAGCTCCCTGTCGTACCCGATTCGTGTGTTATTTCGTCTCCACGAAATGTCGTATCAACTGATACCCGATGCGCTGAGCAAGGAGCAACTCGCTCGAATAGGACTCCCCAAAGGGCACTCTTTTCAGACTTCGGAGGATCTGTGTGAAGCCGTGAACGATGACTCTGATAACAATGCGGATCACGGGGCGGTTATTTCGAGGGGCGGCAGCTCCTCGTGTTGTGGTTATTTGAAATCAGCTGTTCACTTTTGGGGGTGGTATCAGATGTCTTCATGGGAGGCGGTGAACTCTGCGAGTCGGCAGACTAATGCAGCGGAGAACATCGATCTCAGTGCTGCGATAGATAGGGCGCTCGGATCGCATCCTAATCGGGCCGTTTACACACAGCTTCTGCTGCGTATGTTTGGTGCAGCTTTCGATTGCACGAGGCTGTCTGGTGGTTTTGGTGGTGGTTTGGTGCTCAGAGTGCAGCCCTTCGACTTGAGAGGCCGGCGAGAAGAGCCCGTTATAGTGAAGTTGGATACTAAGGAGTCAGTGGAGACTGAAGTTGCCAATGCTAGGGAGGTGTATGAAGTCCTGAGCGATCAAGCTGCTCGCATCCTCGGCGAGCCGATCTATGTTGGAGACTCTGGGGCGTTTAAACTGGAACTGGCTGGTGCATGCTGGCATGTTCCGGAGCTGGCCAACAGCTCAACGACGCTCTTGAACACTTTCAAAGATCTGTATATTTATGAGTGTGAGCAGATGCTCATTCCAGATACGGAGACGCCTTCTGCTCGGAGACCTTTCGGGAATGTGAGCTGTGTGATAAGTGAATTCTTCGGCAGAGGCGGTATATTACAGTCTTTACGTAGTGGTGGCATCTCTCGACAAGAAGAGAATACGTGGGACTTCTACGCGAGGAAGATAAAGGGTATCAGTGATGAGCGAATGGCAGAGGTTCGAACCCTGGTTAGTTCATTATACATGCCCGCCGCTGGCCAAATGTTGCCAGCTATCAAGGCGAAGGTGCAGCTCGTTAAGGACACCTTGGCGAATATGAAAACTCCATGGCACGCCCTGGTTGGACTGGCCCATGGTGACTTAAACGGCGCTAATATTATCATTGATGCTATGGATGCCGTATGGCTCATCGATTTCGCGACTTCTGAGAGGCTCCCGCTATGCACAGATTTGGCTAAAATGGAAGTCTGTATGTTTTTGGAGTATGCGTGTATACCTATAGCCGTCAATATGCTTCTCAACTCACTGCAGGCGTGTGGTCCGCCGAAAATGCACCCTAAGTTGATGTCGGACTGGCTCAGGATTGATCTGGAGCTAGCCGAACGGCTCTACCCTCGTCTGTGTTCGCTGAGGGGTTCTGATATCGCGCTACATTTCGCTATTGATGCTGCTTGTAAGGATGGGTTTGCGGACAAGGCACCGATGCTGAAGGGCCGGCTGACTACTGACGCTAAGGTCACCATTGATGCAGTTCGTCAAGCGTTGCAGTACGTTGATAGGAACTTGGTCAGCACGGCACCACGCCACGAGGGTCTGAACTCAGCTTTGGATTGTGAGCGGAATACCTCTACGACCTCTACTGTGAAGTCATCTGATATTGCTCCTCCTGGCACACCGTTGAAACAGCTATCGATGCCAGCGATGTGTTTGAGACCAGACAGTGGCTCCCCGCTTCCCCCCAGTAGGGAAACTACCAATTCTAGCTTTGTCTCGGCGACAAGTGACGACCCGCGCGAACCGCGACCGTTCGCGGATGCATATGGTACAAGAATTGGTGGTCGATCAGTGAGTAGGACTGACCGATATTCGAAAACAAATCTACGACGTTTGGTCAGCGACTCGCCGTGGGCCTCGAG